CATGCTTCTCTAACACAAGACCAACTTCCCCAATATTCTTTAAAATGACCATTCCCTTCTTTCCCTAAAGTCAGGCAGTAGATGTTTGAGGTAGATTAACTTTTCATTTCCCCTGATGCAAATTTAGTACCACCTTTATTGCTTTCTGTGCCATCCATGCTGTCACTGTCAGGAGAGCAATCAGCAGGGAAATACTGCAAGGAAAACAAGGATCTGAGCTAGTTGCTGCCTTGTACAGGCTAAGAGACAAAACTGGAAGGATACAGTGGAAAGACAACACCAAGCATGGATGACAGTGGGCAATAAATGAGATGGCCCTGCTGGAAACAGCACACTTAGTTAAAGCTACGCAGAGAGCAGTCGATGACATCAGCTGGGCTGTCCAAGGGCGCTGGAGCTGTGTGGCTGCACAGCCGCTCCCGGCCCGGCAGCTGCTCTGCAGGAGCCCCGGGGAAGGGCTAATGAGGAGCTGGAGAGGCGTGAGCGCCCGGAGCCCTGTTGGTTACGTTGGGCACAGCACCTCGCATCACTGAGCGTGCACATTAACCAGATGCTCCTCTGACAGCAACAGTGACATGCCTGTGATAGCTGAATGGCTGTGGGACTCAGATGAAACAAATCTTTGATATGTTTAAACTATTTCAGGCCTTTTCAGGCTCAAAAAAAGTCTAGTATCAGGTATTAATCAGAAAGTATCTTCAGAGCTGTTAATTCCTCTGTGTGTTTTGTGTGTATGTTTGTGCAGTGTTTGCTTTATTTTTCTAATGAAAGTATACCCGTAAGGAATTCAGAGAATTTTATTTTGGCTGCTGTCAGCCACGATGCAGAAGGCTTTGGACTGGAAAGAAAAGATTAGTCTTCAGCTCATTCAGTTCTTGCCACCAATTCTGATGGTCACACTTTGTCACACCTTACAGCATGTGAATTCTTAAATATTAAAACTGGATTGAAATTTTCCCTTTCTCTCATATGAGTTGTTAAGCAGCACTTGGATGCTAATGACTTGTATTCACCACAACTCCCAGTGGGCTGGTACTGGTGACCTACATGTTAAAGGTTACCAACTCATTACTATCCATTTAGAGTTTCATTCTTCAGAGCTTGATTTTTCTGGAAAATTATTTCCAAATAGATGATTGAAATAACCTACTTCCATCCTTCACCAACACATCATTTTATAAATAGCACAGCAGCCATTCCCTTCACTATACTTTAGATTCAAACACTTTGAGAATAAAAATCATAAAGCTTTTCTGTCATGCTTGGTTAAGAGAGATAGGTACAGAGATGGAGCTTGAATTTCTTCTGATATGCTATATTTTTAGAAAATGGCATTAGTTCTCTTACAGCAGTTAAGAAGTACTTCACTATTTGTTTACAGAAAAGCTGTATAACAATGCTGTATGAAGGTTTGAGTCTGTTTTTCAAAGGCTTTAACACTTAAGGAGTGGAACTTCTTTCTAAATGTGATATCCGCGTGTTAATTGTTATTAAAGGCAATTTCTAGAAATTTCAGGCATAATACAATTTCCCATATTCCAGACTGAAAAGACATACAGTGTAGCTCATAGGTAGTGAAAAATGACAGGTTGTTTATGTATGCAGCATGTGTAAAAAAGCCTGGTAAACTTTTTATCTAAGTAAGTCAGGCTACAAGTCTTGCAAGGCACAAAATAGGAAACCCTACAGTAGTGAAAACATCACACTTAAATAGTGAAAAGATCCAGGATACTGGATTTTAAAGGTAAAAAAGTTAGTCTAAATGCACTGAATGAGATCATTAGATTATCAGTTTTTAAAACTGGTACTATGAATAAGCTATGGTTCAGTGGCTGAGGTCAGGGTGTTTGCAAAATGAGATTTAAATTTACTGGTAAAAAAGGAATTTTAAGAGTTTTCCTAATTCATCAATCAAAATGAAATTAAATTATCATTGAAAGTGATCTTTTATTAACATTTTTGGACATAATGTGTAAGTAGAGGAAGAACGTCTTCAAAGCCTCCACTTCTTTGTCTTATTTTAAACTAATGCAAGTCATCTTCTTTGTCTTTTCCTCTTTACAGAGCATAATCTCTTAACTAACTCCTAAGGTTAAAACTAGTACTTAAGTATGTCATAAAAGTTTGTACAGAAAATCTTCTTTATACATTACTGGTTTAAAATATTCCTATTTGTGCATTAATATAATGAAGATTTGTATCTGATCAGATGGAGTCTGTTTTGAATTGTCACAGTCTGTTACTATATGTGACTAAAATTAAGCAATTCAATCTTAGATAAATTTTTCAGCATCTCTGAAAGAGATGTGCTGGAATAAATTTGGGTGGGTTAATGGTGAAATAGTCTTCACTTTCGAGTTACTTGCATCTTTCTTAATACATGTCATATAAGGTAATATTTATTAAATATTCAATTCCAAATAATTTTATTTAAAAAATAATCTTTTTACTGAAAGTTTAAGTAGGTCATTGTGATAGTATCATGTTTATTATAGTTTTACTTTCTAAGGGCTTTTCTTCAGTGTTCTTCAAATGTCTTATAATGTATTTATCCTTAAACGCTTTCTAGTCTGAAAAAACTCTGGGTTGTGATGTGGCAGTTTTAGAGAGATTATGACTTCATGAAAAGTAAATCTTTAAGAAACAGTTTTCCTTCACTGCATGTAAAAGATGTAGGTATGTAAGTCCTAGGCCTTCAAAAAACACTGTGCTGCTTTGCAAAGGGAACTCTGAAGCATTTTGAATGTTGCATGAATTTCATAGAGTGAATGTAACTGAATTCAGTTCAGCATTTCAGACATCAATGTTCTATAGAACATCTTATTTTACAAATATTTTTATTTTCAGCTGTACTCTATGATATTTAATTTTTAATAGGTCTGAAACACTCTAGTTGGTATCTTCCATAATATCCAGCAATGGCAGCCTGCCATTTGCTGGGCACATATTTTTCAGTAAGGTGGTATGGCTGGTGTGCAGTAAATAATGCAGGTTCAGAAACTTGCCATTTATCAACCAAGGGAAAGCAAGTGACCTACAAATTTCTGGCCATGTTGTTCCACATTCCCTTTTACAGAGGTCATGGGGCTCCTGAGCTGTGCTGAAGCATCTGTCATGTTCCAAAAATGAGACCTCTGTTGCAATCAGCTGCTGATTAGAGACCTGTTACATAAAAGTACCTTCTAACAATTTCACCATCCTTAAAACAATTGAAGAATTTTAAGTCACAGTGTTTTCTTGGTATTGTAGGAGATATCTTGAAACTTAGAAAGTCTGCAATGAGATTCAATGCATTGATTTCAAAAGCTATGTTGACTAAAACATGTTATAATGATTTTTTGTTAAAATAAGACCTAACTAGGTGTGTTTTATTTTTAAAGCTGCCTACCTCTGCAGCACCATGAAGTCATCATGCCAACCCTGCTGTTATGGGGAGAAAGAGATGCATTTATGGAAGTTGAGATGGCAGAAATTACAAGGATTTATGTTAAAAATCATTTCAGATTAACTATTTTGTCTGAAGCCAGTCATTGGCTCCAGCAGGATCAACCTGACATAGTGAACAAGTTGATATGGACCTTTCTTAAGGAAGAGACAAAAAGAAAAAGAGAATGACTGTACATGTTTTAAGAGGTCTACGTAAAAGCTCTTCAGATTTAAAACCTAATTGTTATCAGGGCCATATTTCCAGCCTGCCTTCTAATTTGAGCTCTGTTAGAGAAAAGTGTTTTCATTGTACTGTATATTTGGACACTAATGTTACAGCTAAAAGAAGTGAATTTGAGAATATATGATACCAACATTGGTTTTACCTGTATACTTGTATTTTGCACATAAAAACACCTGCCTTAAGATACATATGTATTTGTACAGAAAGAAAATCATGGAAAGTTGCTTGGTTTTGTTTTCTCTCTTGCTTTACGGTTTTAATGTGTGGTGCCTTTTACAAATTTATAATGAAACAATGGAGTGGTGCCATACTGAAGAAAGTCACGAGTTTTCATTCTAGATTTGCCTGAATTTTTTTAATGTATTTTACCATTAAACAGTAACTAACTCTTTTTATCTATATTTTAGCATACTGAACGATTGAAAATTTTCTGGGGTACGTTTCTAGTCTTTAAGTGAATAATGATACGTATCTTGTTGTATTGTTGAATGCAGCTGCTTTGTGCAATGTGTTTTTCTTTCTTGACTAAAAAATGGGAAATCTGTACACTCAACATGTCTGAACAAGAAAAATGGAAAATTAAGATATAACATGTATCAAATCCACCTCTGTCTAATAAAATGCAACTTACACAACTCTCTTTATCTGACTTCCTGTGGAGAGATTTCTTGCTGAAGCTTAGAACTGGGTTTGAATAGCTGAAGTGTCTGCCCAGTGTGCAGCCCGGACACCCATGCTATGATTGTTGTAGTTTCTTGAAAATAATGCCTAATTGTTGGCATTATCCTTCCTGTGTGAGCAACTACTGTTCTTGTCTCCAAGAACTGCTGCCCAGCCCCTGTGTTTATAGGGACGAAGAGACACAGTCATTACGGAAACAGAGGGTAGAATTAACTTGTGTGTGATGGCAGGAGGGAAGAAAACTGGATGCTAACTAAAAAGGAAAAAGAAGCACAAAATATGAGGCCGCAGAATCGGTGAGTCACCTGCCTGTTGGGTTTCCAAAGCCTCTTCCCAGCTCGACGTGACCCTGCAAGGAAGGACCAAGCTGTGCTGTCTGCCCAGTGTCAGTTCGTGGCTGGCAACCTGCTCCCTCTCGGCCACTTCACCAAATCCCAGAGGAGTCTCCTCAGGATCACGACAGTGGTATCCATCTTGCCTCTTCCATCCTCGGTTGGTACCTGCCTTCAAGCCTTTTTCCCTGAGTATTTTCAGCACTTATCAACTTAAGATGGTTTCGTGCTTCTTCCACTTACACTCTGAAGTCGGAAAGGTTCTCCCTTGCCTCAGGAGGGCGGCATAGAGAAACTTCTACCACCTGAGCAGCAGTTTATTTCTTTGGCAAGGCAGCCGCTGATGGGGAGTACGGATTTTCCTGCAGAGCACCAGCTGGCTGAGGGCTGCGGCCCGCGGGCTGCTGCCCCTTCCCTGCGGGAGGTGCGGGGGGGGACGGGGCGCGGGCGGCCCTCGAACGCCACGCTCCGTCAGGGCCGCTCCGCGCGCGGGAGGGGCGCGGCGGGGCCGGGCCGGCGGGGCGGGGCAGCGGCCGCCAGGGGGTGCTCTCCCGGCGGCAGCCGCGATCGGCCGGGCCGAAAGGCCCCGCCCCCGGCATGGAGGTCCCGCCCCCCGGCACGGACCCCCCCCGGCGGGGGCGGGGCCGGGCGCAGCGCCACCGGCTCTGATTGGCGGAGGGCAGCGCCGGCCACGCCCTGCGCGCGGAGCGGGGAAGGCGCCGCGTCCCGCCCCGCGCGGCTCCCGCGGCTCCCGGCGCTGCTCCCGCTGCCCTGGCGGGAAGGCGGGCACGGCCCGCGGCCGCGAGCGCTGTCCCGGCTGTTTCCGTGAGTACGGCGGGCCGCCGGCAAGGGACCGGCTGGTCCCCGCCCCGCGCCTCTGCCGCCGCGCGGGGCGCGGAGCGGAGCGGCCGGCACATGGCGCGGTGCGGCGGCGGCGGCGCAGCGCCGAAGGGCCCCAGCCCGGCGACGGCGGAGCGGCAGCGGCTGAAGGAGGCGCTGGCCGAGCAGCTCCGGCAGGACCTCGGCAGGTGGGCGCGGGGCGGCGGCCGAGGTGGGGGCGGCCCCGTGCGGGGCGGGGACACGCGGTAACGGTGCCGTCCCGCAGGCTGCTGGCGGAGGGGACCCGCTCCGACGTGACCATCCGGGTGGGCGACGCGGCGCTCCGGGCGCACCGGGCGGTGCTCCTGGCGCGGGCGCCACGGCTCTTCGCCGCCCTGGGAGGGGGGCGGCCGCCCCCCGAGGTGCTGCGGCTGGACGGTGTGGGGACCGCGGAGATCCGGCGCTTCCTGCGGTGAGTGCGCGGCCGCGGCGGGACTGATGAGCTGGCCTTGGCACCGCTTCTCTTGCGTCCTGTCTTCTTGCTTCCCAGCACTAGCACCTGTTGTAAAGCTTTTCCTATTCAAGGCAGTATTCTCACAGCTTTCCAACAGCATTGGCAGCAGACTTTTCTGTGACTTCCTTATTTTCCTCTGCCTTTGTCCCTCTGGTGACAGCGCATGGCTGTGCTCTCCACCACAGCATGCTTTTTATGGTATGTAAAGGCTTTGTAGTAGATAAAGAGAAAAAGCAGCCAAAATCCTGAATATACCCTCTAAGATTATCTGTGCCTACTAAAACTCTTCTTAGCAAGATTCCCTAATGGAAACAGAAAAGAAAAACCGCTGTCAGGTCACGCGTAAAATAAAAAAGTTATGGATACAGAAACCGTGGAGAGTTTCATCAAGTTGGATGAAAATGCATCAAAGCTAGAAACTCATCACTCAAGTCCTATTGAGCCATGGGCTAGGCCAGAGACGGCACAGCTTTGATCTGAGCTGGGATCCCAGAGGGAGGCGTGTGGGCTGGCTGCTCCCCAGGGACTGGTGCAAGGGCCAGCGCGTTTTTGCACTGCCAGCTGTTTTCCCATTGCCACACATGCAACATCTCTCATGTCTTGCTCCAAACCTTAGGTGAGTTACGTGAGGAGTGTTGCCACCAGACCTTGCAATCCTCCTTGCTATAAATGCCTCTCACTGTCTCTCAAAGACCTGCTTTTCTCTAACAAAGCTGCAGCTGTGCCAACTACTTTCCCTAACACAGCGTTGGTGTGAAGTGGTAGGCACTCTGGGATTTCACATGAATTCAGGATGTGCCTAGAAAATGTAGGTACCTGCAGGCTCTTGAGATTGTTGGCAAGAGGAAGGGGGGGGAGGGTGTTGCAGTTTTAAAGTTTAGTGCCTGAAATAGTCTGACCTCTCCCTATTGGTTTTGTTCATTCTCTCCTTAAATTTGTAAATAAGGCAGCAGATAGCTAAAAATATGTATTCGGAGTACTAAAGTTATGATAATTATGAAAGAAAACTTTTTGAACCCAGAGTAATATCTGAAACACAGAATCATTGTAGTGGAGCAGGTCAATAAACAGGCATTTGTTACTACTGTCACAGCCTGGCAGGAGCATTAGCAAAACAAGTGGTAAGAAACAAAACAGCATGGGTTTTGTCTCGTATTTTTCCTGACTCCATTATTACTTTGCTATAACTAATTTCTTTCACTTCATATAAGAATTTCATGGAGAAGTATGATATTGCAAATTTTAAAAAATCAAATTCATTTGGACATAATTATTTGGAATAATTATTTTAATTATCTATATACTGTTATAGTATTTTTTTTGTTTTCCTAATGGTAAACACTTAATATGCCTACAGTCCACTGATACTTGCTTTCAATTTTGTCTGTGTTTGCTAGAAGGCAAGTAATGATGTCTAGAGTCCTGCATGTTCTCCAAAAAGGATGGTATTGAAAAGCACCTTTAAACTCAGCTCATCTCATTATAAACCTTTTATCTTTTCACAGTGAGTTTAGATTCTTCAAATGAACCTCCCTATATGTTCTAAGATATGTATGAAATGTGTTTTGCAAGCTGATTGCTTTTTCTTAACTTAGTCTTCAGTGCTGTTTGATACTTCACCTTTTGAGTCCTCTAACCTAGCACATGCTGTGAAAATTTGTGCCACAGAGTACACTGAAGTTTGACAACAGTGAACTCCTTTGGACCAAAGAAAGGAAGCAGCCTTAGTTGAAAAGAGCCTAATTCATTGTTGAAATGACTTCTGCTAGTATCAGTGGCTGTCGAATCTCAGTGGCTTCTTGTTTGGATGCTAATTAATTAATCTTCACAAATGCAAAACGGTGCCTTTAAATTACAGCTTCAGGTTTACCAGAAGCCAGCCTAGTTCTTGGAGCACGTGAACCACCATGATGAGTTGTAACAAAAACCTGTAGCTGCAGCTGAGCTCCTGGGAGAAAGATGTTGTGTTCTACAAAAGTTCTGGTTTTGTATGGAGAAGTGGAATACTAATATAGTATTGAAGAGTTCATCGAAGATATAAAAAAATCTCATTTCCTTTCCTGTTTGTATTCAGCTTTTCTTTTATCTTCCCAAGTAAAAATTATCTTTCCTTGGGGATTTGGGGATTTTCTTTTCTCACGGGCTATATCTGGCCTGCATCTCAGTGAGGCAGCACTTCCTTTGGGCCTCTGTCTCTCTTCATCAGGAGAGATGTGGGCTGCGTGTCACTTGTGTGCTGAAGGCTGTGCAGCTCCTCTTGCCAAACTTCTGAGCATTTTTGAGCAGGAGGGAGGACGTGGTGAGCTTCATGCAGATCTTTCTGCATAGCCCCAGCATGAAATAGAAGAGCAACTAAGCAGTGTTTTGTTTCCCCCCATACACTTGAATATCTGAGGACACCAGGAAGTGCAGCATCCATATTGTAGACACTGTGCACCCTATGTTTTTGCCTGATTAATGTGCCCTCCACTGTGCCCTCCAATAGCCTCCTGTCACTCTTCAGGATGCCACTAGAAAAATGTCATCAATTCCAAGTACATGGATGGCAGGAGATGACTGCCTAAGCAGGGTTCTGCAGTGTGCCTCAGGAAGAAAAACTTAGCATCCCTGAAGGACAACAGTCAGTCACAGATCATTAGATCGTTACTATCTTGTGAGCTGGGAGGCAAACCGCTTTTTATTTTCCCTTGCAGTTGGAAAAAATACAGCTTTAGCAATAAAAAATCTAGTTATTATTGTCTCTTGATATTTGTATTGAAGGCAGCTGAGTCAGGGAAGGACAGAGAGGGGCCTAATGACAGATCCAGTTAAAAAGCAATAAATACAATCAAATACAAAGAAATACAATTGTCACTGTGACATTTACTGCCACAGGGGTTAATTTGCTATACCAGCAGTTGATTCAATGTAGACCAGCCAAGGCTTCGACCGTGTTATGCTTGTAGAGTTCTGTATTAGGCAGTACAAGGATGCCACATCTCTCTTAAGTGCAGGCAGAAACATTCTGGAAGGTAAACTCCTAGACAGCATGATGGCAGTAACTTCTTTCTGTAGAGTCTCTGCAAACCTTTCCTTTGTATAAAAAAATCTTAGGCTGTAGTAACTGCTATGAATACAACAGATACCCTATAGCATGTTCCTGTTTCATCTGTCACCTGGCCACACCTCTTGCAATCTCGTTGCTCATGTCTATCAGAATCTTTTCTGTGTGCAGGGGGGAAAAAATCCACAAGCCATAAGGTGAGGTATCTGTTAAAATTACACAACATCATACTGACGTTACAGATGGTGATGGCTTAGCTCTGTTTTCAGCTTGACATTCTCTTGCACGTGAGGTTTTCATAAAACAGTTGCACCAAATACAGCACCTTTGTTAGTATTTGTTCTTTAAGTACAATTTCCGGTTACAGTTCCATACCACTGGATTACAAAGTAGTGAAAAAGGGAAATATTTCTTTAAATAACTTGTGCATGAATTTATTCTTACTGATTCCTAGATTGTCATAGTCCGCATTGGATAATGGCTGCTTTGGAGGAAACAAACCTGACTTATGCACATGTACACTGAATTCCTTTATGTTTATGCCTCAGCAATCTTACCCTTAATATCTAGGCTTATGCTTTCCCCTCTAGTGGGTTGTGATTGCAGACCACTCTTTGAGAAGAATAGCATGCCTCCCATGTTCTTGAAATTTTATGGTTTATACAAACTATTCTGATATGGTCTTTCCCTTTTATCCTGTTACCAGTCGTGCCTATTGATGTGGTGCAGCGTACCATGCAAGGAGTATCTTCTCTGAGTGACTGATTTGTGGAACTTGTAAACAAGCTAACTGCATAGGGCTTTCTGTGGCACTTACAGGTGCATTTTTTGGCCCAACTATTCTTTTCATATTTTTTCATGAAGGAATCAGTGATACAGCTGAAAAAAAAAATCACCCCTCCTAAAAAAAATAGAGTTAACAAACCTTACCCTGCTAGTGTGGCAACATGGGAACTGTCTTAAACTTTGTGAAACAATAAGTCCTGAATTGTGGAAATTAAAATGCTCTGTTAAGACTTATCTCCAAAGAACAGTGAAAACTGAGAAAGTTGAGAACAATTATTGTGAAACAAAGTCTTTATTTTCCAAGTTAAGGGATCAGGGAATCTGCTTCTCTTGAACACCCAAGCTGTTCTAACTTAATGGCTTTTGTTCATACAACCACATTGTCTGGTCTCAGTTTGTCACTACAGCACCAGGTTAGTTTTGTGGTTATAAATATGAGCTAAGTTCGTCACTGAGAAGAATAAGACTTTGCTGAGGGAGGGAAGGAGGGAAATAAGTAATGTACAACATGAAGCTGGTAGCTCAGATTTTATGATGTATCCTGTTGGGGGAAGAAAGCGTTCACTAAGATGACTTGTTTACTTTGATGAAAATGAGCTTTAAACACATGACAAACAATGGCAACCTTATCTCCTTTCCACATACATAGAAACAATGAGTTTGTCTTTTTTCTTACTGGATTTTTTTTTCGTTCCATGTTTATATTTAATCTCAATCTTTCGGAGGCAGTTGAGAAGCTAAACTGTCAAGTCACAGTATATTCGGTATGTGTGTGATATTAAGATCTTGCTTTGGAAAGCATAGAATCTTAATGCAATGGATTTATGCCCCAAGGGGGAAAAAAAAATCAGTCTATGAGAAATGGGTAGAAACCTTTCACTGGGACCACAACTGCTTAAGGATCAGATTCTTCTGAAATGCTGAGCTTTCACAAGAAATTAGAAAATTTAATCAGCACCTGTGTGAGACAGCGAAGCATTTGACATTGCATCTCATGAGAAGTTTACTGAAATACTTCTATCAGGAAATCAGCTAAGTTAAAACAACCATCTTGGCTGCAAAAATCAAGCAGATTGTTCTTTTAGCAAACCTAAAGGGAAATGGAAGAATCTTAAGTGATTACAGTATGTTGAAGTTGTGCATATGACAGACCTGACTGGCACTAATTCGCTGCTATAGGTGTATTGTTGAAATATTTTTGCAAGCCCACCAAGATTAAATGCAGTACATGAGAGTATTTGGTGCAGTTGGGTTTGCTAGACATTAATGCA